TAGAGAGAGAGAGAGAGGGGGGGGGGGGGGGGGGGGGGGGGGACCGCAGTATTAATCACATAAGAATGAGATTCTCTTGAATACATGATAATTTGGTAAAGAGAAATGTCGAAAATACTATCCAAATAGTAGTTGGATCAAAAACCAGTAAAAAGTGAAGTTTTGAAATTGGGTTAACAAATGAGATAAGAAAGTAAATAACTTTTTGCCACTATCAGCAAATGCAAAATACTGCACATAATCATCTCCAAAAACAATAAGATTTCATTTACACAACTTCCTGTATTCCTGAAGAAGTGTAACTCATCTAATGACTTCGTGCGATAACTTGGGCAATATTTGTTAGCTGGTGAAATTGTTTATTCAGCCCATGTACCTGTCCACCACAAGCCGAGTGCAAGAAAACAGTGCTAGTTTTGCACCTGGGGTGAGTAAATGTAATCCAAAACATTTCACCCAAAACTAAGCAAATGCTTCTCGCTGCTTTGTGGGTAGTTCTAGTTCAGGCTCAAGTGCAGTGATCGGACCAAAGTACTGATCTATCATGTCTTGAGATACTTGTTCCAAGGTTGGAGGGTCCCACTACACGTTTTACAAAATCATTAGTAGAAGATGACAAAAAAATATCATATTTGCACCAGCTACTAACTAAACAAGAAGGGTGGCAAAATTAGGAAATAAGATTTAGTTTACCTTTGGTGCAAAATCTTTTATGTACCAGCTTTGCTCGAACACCCTGATACGGAAGGCAAGCGGCATGACATATATAATACTAATGCTAGTGAAAAGTGTGAAACAGAAAGTTATAAACATTTTATACCTCACGGAAGTCGCCAGTAATCTGCCCGGATATTCCTTGTAGGGACATTCTATACTCACGAATAAGGCACTGATCAAGAGTTTGAAATCTACCTTCTCGTATCTGGACCAAACATTATTGTGAGGTCAGCTAAAATTGTAGTGGTCTGCAGAACTCAATAAAATGTTCTAGGGACTTACCGATCTTAAGGAAACCTTCAAACTTAATGGGGCAGCGTCTTTAAGTTTCATCAAAGTCGATGTGCACCATGCATCATTTGTTTTGGCAACCTCATTTTCCTAGGAAAATTTTAACTTGGAATTGTAAATATAGCTTCTAAGAAAAAAAAAACACTGTTTTATATAATTGAAAAAATATGTTATCCAAGAAATTTAGATGAAAAAATTTATTGGTGGACATCAAATAGAAGTATATAGCAGAAGAAAGAAACCGTTTCACTCAGAAGCATGTGACTTGTGAAAAGGGCTGTTTGTGCCTTTAATCAGAAGCACAGAGCTTTTAATGTTATCTAACTAACGCAAGCAATGTAGCTCATTTAATGTCTTCGCAGAACCTGGCAGGTAAAAAACAAATAAAATGTATACAGGTGTTCCAATCAACCTCTTCACAGAGTTACAGAAAGAGAGCGATAAAGAGAGACAGAGAGATTCTTTTCTTATCTGTACTTCATTAGTTCATTTTCCTCCTTAATGACATTCTATCCTATTCTGTTCTTGTAGTGAACAGCAGTTTTTAAGGGACAAAAGACCAATGTTATATATTCATTACAGATTTGTTTCTGTAAAAGGATACTTCAGGTAAATGAAAACAGAACTAATTTATTATATGCTTACCAAAGAATCAATAATTTCCTCTACAGTGTCATGGCTGAAACATTTGCCAACTGTTTCAATCCTAACCAAGAAAATGAGCAACGGGGAACAAACGATCAGTTTAAATCATCATGATAGTGACAGAAGCAGTTGAGATTCATTCTAAGCAGGGCTGTATATCTCAGGAAAACAGTATTCGTAAATATATTTGGAGAATTAAGTTAAAAATACATACATTCAGATCACGTTTGGCACACCGGATTAGGCTGTAAAAAGATTCAGTACAATATTATAATGGAGATTAATAGATATTCAAAAGAATGTCATTTACTATATGTTCCTCATCCAGCCTAAACCCCCCTTCAACCAATGTATTGTGTTATACGGTTGATAGTGCAAATGACTATCTTTTGAATGAAAAATTGAAAAATACTATCCACCATAATACTCATTACTATTCATTATAATTTTATACTAAATTCCTTATATGACCTAATCTGGTATGGGTGAGGGGAACAAGTTAGTTTACGAAAAACTCAAAATGTAAGGATTAGTGATTATTTATATTAATTTATTCAAATAGATAGATGTGACTTGTAACTTTTAAGCCTTGAAACGTCCCATCATCTAATTTTGAACTAGCTAATCATAAATAGTGTAGGTCATTTGATGGAAGCTTCATTCGAACCAGGTTTTTTCTGTACAGATTGAGATATTTTCTGATTGAGAATGAGGATAAGTGATCAAATTTCATAATATCTATAAAAAAGGTTACTACCTAGCCTCTCTCTCTTGTAGCACATTTGCCCTCTGGTGATTCAACTAAATCATACCCTTTACACTTTCAATCCTGAAAACAGATGAAATACCTGTGAATTACACTTGTCTTATCTGGAAGAACAAGGTCTCCATGATTTTCTAAACAAGTTTCGATGACAGAGGGGTCATCAGTTACCAAGTTCCCAAGTTGTTCTTCAATCAGAGGAAGTTTCTGCAGAGGTAATGGATGAAGGAGATGAAAATAAAAAACACTCTCTCTAAAGTAAACAGTGAAACGGTTTGGTGTAAAACAAAGAAATTCACGATAGGACTGACTGTGATGAGCAAGTAGTGCGTAGCAAGCCCACAGGACATCAATTCTGCTCCATTGAGTTTATCACCTGTTAGGGAAAGGTACTCTCCTGCAAAAAGACAGGTATAAATAGGTTAAATGAGCTACCTGCCAGTTCAGAATTCAGGATACTGGATCTGTTAACAACAAAAAAAAATTTTCCAGTCACAAATTTAAGATGGAAAACAAGATATTAAATTCAAAAGCAATGTAGAGGACGATCCCACATATCAGCAAAATATTCAAAACAACAAATTATTGAAAGGAGCAGCACCAAAAGAAATCAGTTTGCTTGCTCATCAGTTTTCTTAATTTAACAAACAAGGTTAATAAAAATTTCAAGATTGAATTTCTAATTTATTCTTGTTCTTGTGATCCTAAATGTTTTAAATTAGTGTGGCATAGCCTTCAATATTTAAAACGAAGATTACATCAAGTGAGCACTGTGCATCTTTTGCGTGTCTAATGATTTTAGCATAGGAAATAGAAATTTAACGAGATCCTTCAACGAAAGTGGATACAACTGAAAAGAGAGATTATCACAACTATGTAACATACTATGCCACAAGGCATATTACAGCATTATCACATATTAAAATTAGAATATTGTTCTTTAATAGTTAACCTACCTAATTCCCAATGCCAAAGAAGACAGAAAAGGAAGCAGAAGGTATACATTGGTTTAGAAAGGAAAAGAAAAAAAAAATAAGAGAGGAACTAGCAGGTTATGTCCAATGCAAATGACTAGATCACTCAAAGAGTAAAGAAGATAAAAGGAATAAGACCCTCAGAAAAGGTTTGACAGAAAACTCGAGGTAAATTAATATTAGTTTATGAAACCATCAAAAGCACAAGGTATTGAGTTTTAGATTATTTGATGAGTGGTAGACCGTAGACTCGAAGTTTATTCAAGTGGTGCTTGACCATCTATGAGGAAAAAAAAAAAGGAAAAACAAGATTATTCAAGTCCTAATAAGCTAATTATTCTATAATGCAGCAATAGAAAGTTCATGTATTAATTCATGAAGGATGGATGATGTCCCAGGACATTACATTCCATTGAGTTGCAGAAGTGCAAATGTGACAGAAACATTTTATATGAAAGAACCAATACATGCAGATACCAAGTTAGTCACAAACTGGGCAGGTTCACTTTCCCATGAATCCTGGGGGAAAAAAAGCACTTAGTAAAATGAATATATGCATTAAGGCACAAGAACTAACCAAGATAGCCAGGCAGGTGTGAAAGGTAAAATGATGCCCCAGCATCTGGATGGAAACCAATTAATGTTTCAGGGGTGGCAAAAACCTGCATTATTGGGATATTTGTGGCTCAACATTTCAAACATAATATAGATATATATTACTGAAAACGGCCAATAATTTCTCAGGGAATAAAGTTAAGTAGAGAAATTATTTTCTTAACCCAGCTATCTCTTATTACCCTCCTCGTTGGACTGGGGTATCATTAATGAAATAATGATAAAAAAAATAACATACTTGCAATAGAAAAGTGCAGGAACACTGAACTTCAAACACGTAAAAGTTCATCAAAGCAACTGAATATGGTCATAAAGCTATTTGATGCAGGACTAGGAACTTCGACTTTTATTTCTAGAAAAAGTTTACCCTTTCTAGCACATGTCCCGAAGCAATAAAAGTAAACGTTTACATTTACTATATGTTTTATATTTTTTAAGAGTCCAGAATCAATCACTTTATATTTAATCGTGATTGGTAAACATTGAGGAAATGATATAAGCATGTCTAGGAATGATGTAAAACATAAGACGGAGACTCGGAGACTTCTCAGGCATGACTAAATTATTGGGCATCCAAAGATTAAATATGTAAAGATAAACAACAGACAAAACTTTCACTAAACATGCAGCCTATAAACTGTCTTGCTAAAATTTGAAAAAAGAAAAAAGGAAGGTAGAAATGAGAAAGAGTCAAAGATGCACACTGTCGCCCAAGATTATTGGCAATGTTTTCTTAAACACATGCAGTCGTCCATTATAAAAAGGTAAATTTATTTGCACAAAACCAATCATCAACCATACAAGAAGCTTGAACTTCTTGACCATGCAAAAGCAATGGGTAGATCAGAAGTGTTGAAGATTTTATTAAAAGAAATTGCTGCCATCGGCCATTTGTGCGTAGCAAAGCAATTTTTTGGGTAACAAGGCATTAAGAATAAGCATTAGACATAAGAGACAAAGAGAGAGTTCGGATCTTGAATTTCAAATCAAAAGAATTGGGTGTCACTAGGATCGGGACTTGGAAGCATACTCAAGGGCGAGAAACAGAGGTAAATATCTGAACAGAGACCTGAACCAATTGTACTAGATATGCTGATCCTCCTAAAAACTTCACATCCAATCTCCTCTCTTTTCAACATTTTCAATCAATGGAAGAAATGAATAAGTCATCTCTCAAATTCTTTAAACTTTTTAATTGATATATATTCACAATGTTTCTTAACTAATTAAGTACCGAACTTTCACATCTCATGCCCAGTAAAAAATAATATAAAAATGGTCTGATAGTCAGCTGCAGAACATAAGTAAAACCAAATATCAATAGTTCTGCAAAGTAATTGACACTAACTCGAAACACATAGGAAGTATCTTTTAATAGACGAAATTAAAGAAGAAATAGAGACTGTTAGATTTCATGGAAGTTTCATACAGTTTTATCAGTTACAACTTGGAATGTGCCAGGGATTGAAATTCCAGCCCCGCCACCCATAGTAATCCCATTTAAGATAGCCACCTGCATGGACATCATTGCACTGATAAGTAAAAGAAATTTGAAGATGAAAATTCAGGTGCAAGAAACATGACTATTGACTAATAAAAATTGACTTGTCTTAAGCCCCTGTTTGGCCCCCATTATATTACATTCCATTACATTAATTTTTTCTCTCTCTTCATCTCAATCATACAATCATTAAATAAAATAATAATACACATAAATCTAAAACTTTTCAACCACACAACTCCCATCAATCACTATTTTAAAAATTTTCAACCCACTAAAAAACAACAAATATTACATTCCATTACATTAATTTTTTCTCTCTCTTCATCTCAACCATACATTCATCAAATAAAATAATAATACACACAAATCAAAAACTTTTCAACCACACATCTCCCATCAATCACTATTCTAAAAATTATTTACCCCCCAAAAATTTAATTTAATGGGGGGCAAACAGGGGCTAAATTTGGGGCAGAATCAATAGATTTGGCACTGTAGAGGATGAAAGGTACGAAGAAACAGAAATCAGCTGGGAACAACAAACTATTCCATTAGAGTAGATACCCAAATGGTATTCATTGAGTAGATAAAAGGATGTAGATAGTGAGGCCACAACAAATCAACAATTGTAATCTGGTGAACCAGCAGATCACCTTGGCTTGTGAAACTTTGAAACTCAATGCAATTTGACCAATATTTAAGAAAGATGATATGAAAACATGATAATGCTGCATCAATGACATTCTTGTCCAGAAAAGCCAAAAAAGTCTTCTTTATATATATATATATATATATGTAAGCGACTTTTAGAGTCATGCTTTGTTTTACTATCATGTCAAGTAAAATTTATTTTTTGCCCGTTGAAATGAGATCAACAGCCGAAAAACAGGCAAGAATCCAGTTGTAACTTCTGAGATTACCTCAAGTGGTTTTGCCAAAATGAACAGGAACTAACTGATATTTGAAGGAACTTGAAGAAAACTGCAGCAATATCTGAGTTTAGCTGATTATATGAAGATCATAATTTGAATTATTAAAAGGAAGCATGAGCCTCATGTTGCACTTTGTGCTAAAGCCTAAGAGGTCTTTGTCTCCCAGCATACCTTACAATTTAAAAATATGATTGGAAACTGGGAAGTACACAGTACCATTGTGCAGGATTGAGCACAGCAACTAAGTAATACTCACATGTAGCTTCAAATATGTACCAAGGAAATATATATGATTGTATAGAGTCCGGAAGAACTCTTTACACTCTTCAAGGTTTCCTGCATTCAGTGAATAAAGAATTATAACAGTTATGAAGAAAGGGAAGGAAAGAGTCAGAGCTATAGCAGTGGCAACAGAGTCAAAACTTTAAGATGTCCTTAACATTGATGATTGTGCCAAAAAAAGTTGCGTCACTACAATATTCAGAATAATATCTAATGCACTTATTTCGAGTGCAGTTCTCAATGATTATCAAGAACCGCCATGGTGGCAATGAATGCCCAACCACAATCTTCAGCTGTCCAATCATCATTAAAGTCAGCACAGAGGTTAAGCTCTATGAACTGGCAACTAATGAATATAATCCTTTATGAAATCACGATATAAAAAAATCTGTATTATACTTCTCTGGGCTAAAAATCAAAGAATATACCATACAATTCAAAAGATTCTAAAGTACCTTTGTTTATTAAATCATAGAGAGCTACAACATCACCACCGGCACAAAATGCCCTGCCTCTACCATTCAAGTATTTCAAAACCAGCCAAAGTTAGCTTACAGCATAAGCAAAAAAAAAAAAACACGAAAACTTGCATACAAGTCAACCTCCAAAAGTAGTAAAAAAAACAAACACCAGCATATCTGAACTGTGAAAAGAAAGAATACCGTCAAAGCCACAAACCCAATATTAGGGTTATCTTCCCAACTTTTGTATAGCTTATGCAACCGAGCACCCTATATTCCACCGTATTGAAAAATTTTATTAGAAAATCATGATCAATCCAATTCAATTGTTGAAAGAAACTCATAGTGGTCATCATGCAATACTTTAATTAAAGTGAAATGAGCCGAGTAAGTTAAGATTGAAAACAACATAAAAGAGTGCAGATCCAGAAAACATCTCAGAGAAAATCAAAGCAGAAAATACGTAAAATGCACCATAGTATTAAATAAACTTCTCCACACACATGTAAATAACAATTACTGTTCTGATTAATCTTCAAAATTACAGGATTCAATATATTAAGGCAAACGCAGGAATGCAATCTTGCAAAGTGGATAAGGAAACATCTCAATGAACAATGAGAAGATAAACTACCAACATGATTGCAAACAATCCATTTAAATATTAAAAATAACTTAAAGTAACCTCCTTGCACAATGGCTCTTAAGCTAATATTCCGGTAAGCACCAACAATAGCAATGACCCCTTGGTCTAAATTTCTCAATTGAGCCAATTCAAATACTCAAATACTATAAACAACTTTAGACACAATCTTCTTAAATCTCAAGGGAAAAAAAATGCAACCAAAATAATAGCACGCAGGCACGAACGCACAAAAAAACCCATTACTGTCAAATGTGATCATATAACATACCACGGAAGTATTAAGAGCATTGAGCACAAAGGGTCAGCTGAGAATTGCAGTTCTTGAATAAGTTTTGCCCTCAACAAGTATCTGAAAATTAAACCCGACGCTCAAACAAAATGAGTGTCCGGGTGCATGTGCTATAAATTAAGCACGAAAATGGCGATCAATAATTGAAACAGAAAAGGGTTTAAACTCACAAGGCTATCAGCATCATCAATGAGAGGATTATTGGAGAAAGCGCTAACACTTCTGGATTGAGAGATGCGTCCATGAACATAGCGCCTCAAAAGCAATGATGATTTGAAGCTGTGCATTCCTAATCTCTTCCTTCCAGTGACTCCAACTGGGTAGAATTTGAGGTTTGTACTACTTTTAATTGTCACTCCCAGTTCGGGCACCAACAAAGAGTGGCTAGGAATATTTTTGAGAAGAGAATTGCTACTGGTACATCAGTCCATACATCAAGGTCTACATAATTGCTGACGTGGCGATATTTGACTCCATATCTCGTTGCATTTGAAAAAAAAAAAAAGACCAACAGCCAAAATTGAAACACCCGTTTCCTTCTTCACATTTCCCCCCATTCTCCCCCATTTCCCATCTCCCCCATTTTCTCTCTCACTGGAAGATAACCCCCGGCGTCAAACCCTTAATCCCCCAACCCACAAATCGTTGGCTCTCGGCGTGAAGGCTTCGTCGACGTCTGTGCGGCTGCAAGCGAACCCGCCGTTCACCCGAAAACTCAACATGGCCCTTTCTCTTGCTGTCGATGGACCCAAATCCCTTCGAAAACGAACCATAAATTTTGATCCCTGCCAACTCCGAAAATTTCGTTTTGCAGAGAAGGTAATTGTTACAACCAAGCACAATGATGATGAGCAATACATCTGGGAATCTCAAGTTGAGAATGTGTGACAAAGAAGAGAATCAACTATTTTATGTGTAGAAATTGAGGTTATTATAATGTTGGGATGATAATTTGGCTAACGATGATTTATGGTTTATTCTGGACCATGTGCAGTTGGAATACCTGGAGGAGAGGAGAATCAAGGATCTCGTGAAGAATCAAGTAGTACTGTAATAAGTTCTATGAAGCTTTCTCCAAGAACTTGAAGTTGGGCATTCATGAGGACAGCCAAAACTGGACTAAAATTATTGATTCCCAGTAGGAGAATCCTTAGGCATTCTTATTGTTGCATTTGCCTTTAATAGCAGTATTGAATTTGCACATAATATTTGTTCTTAAAGTTTTTCTGATAGATATATGGAGTGTTTTGTTATTCCAAAATGACTATGATCTAAACTGCTAGCGACCTTATCTTGTATAATGTGCTTCGCCCGGCACCATGTTAGATGCTTGCTTATATTTTCTGTTCAGCCTTTGCATCTGTACAATTTTTGGTTATCAGAACTTAGACATACTCATATTTACTTGTAAAAAAAACTGACTTGAGCAGAGAGAAGAAAATCCGTCAAAGGCTGGAAATGGTGAATTCTAAGTTGCTCAATGAGTTAGCTGATGCCAAGTTATCAACTAAGCGCTATGTGCATGATTATGAGAAAGAATGAAAGGCCAGAGAGTTGATAGAGGAAGTCTGTGATGAACTAGCCAAGGAAATTGGAGAGGACAAAGCTGAAGTCGAAGCAGTGAGAAGAGAATCGATGAAATTCCTAGAGGAGGTGGAAGAAGAGAGGAAAATGTTGCAGATGGCTGAGGTCTGGCGTGAAGAACGAGTCCAGATGAAGCTAGTTGATGTAAAGGTGATGCTTGAAGAGAAGTATTCTCAGATGAACATGTTAATAGCATTCAGTGTATGTTGGTTCCAACATTTAGAGGAGTTGGTGTGTTTGAGTATTTCTGCTGTATTATGTTTAATCTCTATTTTGGGCTGGATTGTAATTCTGATATGAAAACCTCGTCAGATAGAGTTGTAAACTTTCTGCTGGTTTAATCACTATTTTTCCTTCTGCTGGTTTAACTTTCTTCTGGTTTATTCTTCTTGCTGGTTTCTCTGCATCTGTTCTTGCTGTATTGCTGCTGTTGTAAATCTTATAAGTTATAATCTTATAAGTGAATTAATTGGAGTGCACAGAAGATTTCTGCTGGCTGTTGATGCCAACATCTTTTTCATGTTTGGAGGTGCATTCTGGGCAACAATTAAGCATTTGGCTGTGTAAATTAATTAAGCATTACAGATTCATTTCATTCAGATTTTCAATTAATCCAAATGAAAAACACTCCATATAAGCATCATTTAGTGTATTTGAGAATCAACATGTCAAAGTGCTGGACACAAAAACTAGCCATTCAACTTCATTTGCCATTAAAGTTGCTAAATACAATCTCCAATTCACAAGCAATTATTGCAGCATTAACAAATTCACAAGCAATTATAGCAGCATTAACATTGGAAGAAGCCACTCTTCTCTCAGAATTTGAAGTAGTCAGCACCACCCCCATAATCTCCTTTGGCTCCAGCCATTTCTCCATCACAGCTATTTTTCGTCAGCAATTCAATTAACATCTCTAAATCAAATAGCTTCTACAAGTCATATATAACATTTTTTGTAAAGCTTTTCCTTCCCTAACCTCTTCACGAGAACCCAAAGCCTTCATCCACGAAGAAATGAAGAAACTCAAAAGCAAAAGAAATGAGATTTTTTTACCAATGCATAAACTGGAAGGAAAATCCAATTTATGGATTCAAACACCAACGAAGAAGAACATACATAATCAAAATCGTTCCCCAGCCCGAACAAAAAATACACTAAAAAGGGGGTTCAAAACAATTGCAGATCTACAAATCGTTCAAATCGTGCCTCAGACTGAACAAAAAATGCTGACGAAAAATAGGGTTCAAATCGTTCCTCAGCCTGAACAAAATGCTTGCAGCACGCACTCCTTCGAAGCCTTCAAGCTGTAGGAGATCTGGGTTCCCGAAATTTCCGTTCCGTCGACAGCAAGAGAAAGGGCCGTGTTGAGTTCTCGGGTGAACGGCGGGTTCGCTTGCAGCCACACAGACGTCGATGAAGCCTTCACGCCGGGAGCCAACGATTTGGGGGTTGGGGGATTAAGGGTTTGACGCCGGGGGTTATCTTCCAGTGAGAGAGAAAATGGGGGAGATGGGAAATGGAGGAGAATGGGGGGAAATGTGAAGAAGGAAACGAGTGTTTCAATTTTGGCTGTTGGTCTTTTTTTTTTTTTTCAAATTCAACGAGATATTGAGTCAAAATATCGTCACGTCAGCAATTATGTAGACCTTGATGTATAGACTGATGTACCAGTAGCAATTCTCTTTTGAGAACTAATTGAAATTAGAGGGAAGCATCTTAAATTTTCGGTTAACAATCCAGATTTGAGAAAGTAAATCCTCCATCTTCAATACAACCGGTTGAATATTTACATCCGTCACCCACAAAAGTAAATGGAGTAGCCCGCCTGCCTGCAAAACAGGGACGATGAGCTAGTAATGCAAATTATTATTATTTATTATCATTTAAGCAAATTGCAAATATTTTTTAGAGAAATTTGTAGTAGAGGTCCTAAACCTTTAAATTCTAGTAGCTACGTCCTAAACATTTTCAATAAATATGCGATATGAGGAACTCTTGACTTATTTCGTCTAAAGAACCATTAGTTGACCAAAAATAAGCCTTTGGACATTTTTAGAAGAACATAATAATAACTTTATATTTTTACATCTAAAATATTTAAACAAAAAACAACAAAAGAAAGCGAAAAAAGGAATAAAAACCACCCCAATGACAACCTCATCTTCATTTTAATTTCCCCTACATATGTTGGCGGTGAGCATCTTGACGATAAAAGTAATGATTCCATTGGCGACAATAATATCGAAGAAATCCAAATTGCTCATGTTCAAATCACCAATTATTGCTTGGATTCGAGACTCGAGTGAACCAAGTCACCACCAGCAACAATATCGATAATTCCTCTGTCGTCAAATGGTTAAAACATGGTCTTCTTCCTATCACGATGGTACATATTATAAACTTGGTCAATTAATGATCATTTGAATATAATTCATTCAGAGCTCCTTACATCTCATATTTATTGAAAGATTTGAAACATAGCAATTAGGATTTATAGGTCACTGCATTTTGAAAGATTAGGACTTCTATTTCAAATTTCCCTAGTATTTGTTACCCTTTACAGCAAATTGCAATTTTTTAAAAGCCGTGTAGTAGAAGCTACATTGCGTTTAGGCTTTGGGTCCTAGTGCCAACTTCCAACCCCGAGTTGTTGCATAACATTACTTTTTGCTTAAATAAGCAAGGTAAGTGACAAGAAAACTCTATTTGTATACTTTTTTATAGTCGAAGTCATCTTCACTAGCCATGCCGTCGTTTATTTAACAAGACAAAGTACTTAAATTGAAACAAAAACAAAATCCAAGTGACTAATTTACAACAGAAAATAAGTTTGATGGTCAAAATGAAAGAAAGCTATAAATATTTCCATTATTTTGAAATTTGAACCAACTTCAGTGGAACAAGTTACAAATCCGTGATGATCAACCAAACTTCAGCCTTTTCAGCAACCGTAATGGCTGCCTTTTACATCATCTGACGCCAATACTTATCACCATATCCTCGAAATGCGATTTATCTCGATCCTCGTGCTCTCTACGATCGATCACTACATATAGGATTCTCCTCATTTCACCATCCAAAGCATAACTCTTTTTCTCCAAGCCATGGCAAAAGATCCCATCAGAGTTCTAGTCACTGGTGCTGCTGGTAATTTGTTTTCTGCGTTAAAACAAGTACTATATGCATTTAAATTATGTGGAAACCTATGATTAATTGATTATCTGTTGTGACTTGTTGCATTGTGTTATTATGTTCTTTTCTTGGAAGGAGGGTATGTTATGCTATTTCAAAACTTATGGATTTTGTCTTGCTCTTTAATTGCCTTGTTTTCTACTGTTTCCCACATTCTCAATTTGACTTTTGTGTTGGGTTTCTGTATATAATGATGTTTAAATAGTGAATACTATTCGGAGAAATCTGTGCTTTAATATTTTCCTTTATTTTTTTTCTGTATAATGGAGTATTTGGTGTCCATGGAAAAGCCTCTTGTGCTTTTGGGCTGTGCATACTTGTCATGGAAGATTGTGAGACACATATGGGGTTTCTTGAATGTAGAAAAGGAACCTGTTACAGTGCTTGTTACTGGCGCTGCAGGCACGAGTTATATACTAATATGCAGAACTAGCCTATTTTATTATCAAAATCTTGATTAGTTCAATTTAATTTCCATTTGATTGCATGGAATTGAGGCCTTCAAATTCGAACTAGAAATGATTTCATCCAAATTCACATTCATTTTTCAAGAATTACAGTTTAAGTCCCAATTCTCTGTCGCCACGGGCTTTACTTGTGTATCTTAGCTGTCATTACTAACACATATGACTTGTCCCTTTTCTGTGTTTGTTATATTTACCTGATCTACATTGTGTGCGGATTGAACAAGTTTGAGTTGGGATGTAACATGGTGATACCTTCTGATGCTTTACTTGAAATTGTTCCACAGGCCAAATTGGCTATGCTCTTGTTCCCATGATTGCTAGAGGGGCCATGCTAGGTCCTGATCAACCTGTAATTATACACATGCTTGATATTGTACCAGCTGCTGAGGCGTTGAAGGGGGTGAAGATGGAATTGATCGATGCAGCTTTTCCGCTTCTCAAAGGTAAGCCTTTCTATGAGGGTTCTAATTGTCAACAAGGACTAATTCAAACCTTAGAACTATAAGTTCCTCTCTTCTAATATAGGCTTAATTATGAGTGGATTTCGCGATGGTTGCTCATACAAATTACATTTACATGTAACAATTTTAATCTAAGATTCTAATTCAATCAGGATACATCATTTGTTACCCCACATGTGTAAATTTGCTGAATATTATGGTTATTGCAGGTGTTGTTGCCACGACAGATGTTGTTGAAGCTTGTAAAGGCGTAGACGTTGCCGTCATGGTCGGTGGATTCCCACGGAAGGAAGGAATGGAAAGGAAGGACGTAATGTCCAAAAATGTATCCATTTACAAGGCTCAGGCCTCAGCATTAGAGAAACACGCTGCCCCAGATTGCAAGGTAAATGTCTCCGGGAGAGGAAAAGATTGACCCGTCTTTTCTACTCTAGAAATTCTAGACACGTGGAAAGTCATGCATACACTTCTTATTGTGCAAGAAACCTAAATGTCGCATTAGTTGAGCTGTTCGAATTTCTTGACATTGATAAATTTTCCTGTGTACAAAAAGTTAACCATGATAATGTTTTCCTTGTATCCCGGTTATTATTGACAGGTGTTGGTGGTTGCTAATCCAGCCAATACCAATGCACTCATCTTGAAAGAATTTGCTCCTTCATTCCCAGAGAAAAATATCACCTGCCTTACAAGACTTGATCACAACAGGGCTCTAGGCCAGATTTCAGAAAGGCTGAATGTTCACGTTGGTGATGTGAAGAATGTGATCATATGGGGGAATCACTCGTCCACTCAATATCCAGACATTAATCACGCGACTGTAGACACCGGAAATGGACTGAAACCTGTTAGAGAACTTGTTGGAGATGATCCTTGGTAACTCTCTACATTGTTCAGTCAAATTTGATACAAATTCATATTCTTATACTAAACTACCTTCCTCCCCACCGGAAAGAAAAAAATTCCTTTTGCCCCTCTTCCAAGGAAAATCACCCATAGTGCTATTAGCATTTTAGCATGCTGCAATCAGTTAATGGGGGTTGAAAACAGTAAACCTATTATTCTTAATCACTCTAAGACAATGATATATTCTTCAGTTGTCAATTGTTCTCTTGACCATTTAATTGGTGATGCATATATAATCTGGACAAAAGGCACAAAAGAAAAGAAACTAAAGGGTATTTCCAAAACTATATTTCACAACGCCACAGAAAAAATAGAAACAACATTGAGAAAAAAAATTTGAGTCCTTTCTCATCCCATAGGATAATCGCCAATTAGCCTGGATCTCTAGTTAAAGCTAAAAAAATATTATCCTGGCATTGATTTATTGCTCCTTGTCCTTGATGTAAATTTTGAATATACAAAGAGGTTGTGATTAAATGCCATGGCCATATCTTCGCTTGTATCCCATTCATTTATACACTGATTTGATTCTTCAGTTTGTTGAGTGAACTTTCTATTGAATATGTTAGGTTGAATGCCGAGTTCATTACCACCGTCCAGCAGCGGGGTGCAGCCATCATAAAAGCTCGGAAACTATCAAGTGCACTATCTGCTGCAAGCTCCGCTTGCGATCATGTGCACGATTGGGTTCTTGGAACTCCAAAGGTATAGTTTACATTGAACTTGCCTTCATCTTATATTCATTTTATTTATTACCTTTTCATGTTTTGTCCAGGGCACTTGGGTGTCAATGGGAGTGTATTCTGATGGCTCTTATGGCATCCCACCTGGCATAATTTATTCTTTCCCAGTTACTTGCGAGAAAGGAGAATGGTCGATTGTGCAAGGTTAGTTTCGATTTTACTAGAACGATACACGTTCTTCACAACATGACATTGATCAAAGGCTAAAGGGTGTTCTCTGTGCAGGGCTCAAGATAGACGAATTTTCAAGGGAGAAGATGGATGCGACAGCAAAGGAATTGGTCGAGGAAAAATCATTGGCCTATTCATGCCTCGATTGAGAGTGCACTCAATCTTTCCCTGTGTGTCTACTGTCTCCTTTTGTAGGTTGAAAGTAAAATAAGAATCATACTATAATAAATCTATTTATTCACGTGACTTTTTAACAGAATGTTGTTACCTAGTACCTACATGAGAGTTGCCTCAGGGAAATTATTTTCCATTATGCTGTATCCAAGAAATTATTTTTACTCTTTTACAATAAATTGTTAATCAATTAGCAATGCAAGTCTTCCTACTGAGGGATGACATGAAAGTTCATAACCCTCTATGAAGTTCGCGTGCTTGTTTATTTTGACGTGAGATTCACAAAACACGATTCTCGGTAGATTTGACATGTACCATCCCTCTTGCTCGTTTTGTTACTATTGAATTTATTCGACTTATCAATTCTTTGAAAGTATTTTTTTTCTCCGTTTTTTTTTCTATTTATTTAATAATAAGGCTTTAATGTCTATCCGACATATTAAGATCCATGCGGATGGATGAATGCGTTGTAAAATTAAAATATTAGGATTAATACTATGGAGAAAATGAGTAAAATATCATATTGAAATAAAGACCATAAATTAAGGACTAGTGGCACAATTTTCCGAAAACTAATACCACGCAAACCCACTTTTTTTTCAGTCACCTCTCTTTGGCTTCCATTTGATGGCCATTTTTTTGATAAAATATTATTTTAATTAGTAAATTTTTGAAGAATACATAATTAAAAAATAGAAAATAGTTTTAAGTTTACATGTAAAATATTTTATTATTAGAATACGTTGTTGAAAATGAGTATATAGAAAAAAAGTATGAAAATAATGGTTGTCAAACATGGGCTAAGAGCAAGACACTCCGAAGTTGACATAGGAGTGAGAGTTGAAAATGAGTATATAGAAAAAAAAAAGCTTTGAAAGATTGAGACACAAACAGGGGATTAGTTCAGTCGTGAGAATAGTGGTAAAAGATCGTTTGACCCGGTTGGATTTTTTTTGTCCTTTGAAAAAAGATAATTATAGTTGTGTCACAATCTTTATTACTTGAATCGCAATTTAATTATATTTATGGTTCATGATCTTTGCTCATTATATCACTTATATTCATAACGATTTTTTATATCATTCTTATTCTCAAATTTTTCATTAGTTTGACACATTTTGTATTTTATAACAGTTTTATATTCAAAAGTTCGTTGAAATAGCGTACAACTTATTTTTTCAATAAAAATTAAAAAATATGTTTTCCTCGTATCAAAGCATGATTTTTTTAAAAATATAAATCATCACCAAGGACGAGACATACTAATTAATGGAATGTTGAAAATAAGAATTCGATTGAAAAAAATTGGTACAATAAATAAAGATTTAGGAGTTTAACTGCAATTAAAATGTGGTGTAACAAATAAAAATTATGGCATCAATATAATTACCCTTGAAACACTAATCGAGAAAATGAGTAAGATATCGAGTTGAAATAAATTGAGGACTAATAGCGCAATTTCCCGAAAACTAGTACCACTCAAAGCCGCTCTTTTTTCATTCTCAACGCTTTTAGTGCAACGGAATTTGGTTAATACTTGTTAACTGTTGATGATTTGATGAATTATTTATTTGTAAAATTGTGAGTGCTTGTGAACTGTTGCAAGAACACTACCCTTAAATTAAAAGAACGTGTTAAAGAACTAGTATATTATACTTTATAACACGACCAGAGACGAATCCAGCACCCGATCAGGGGGCGTGGCCGCCCGTGCTGCAGTTGGGAGTTTCGCCTGCAACTTCCTACTTGTTCGTCTTCTTCATCCTTGCTACTTTTTTTTTTTTTGAAAGTGGGCCAAATTCGGCCCAGCCCATCAAACATCATCCTTTTTTTTTTATAATTGGATTGGGCCATTTGTTCTGGGCCCAATCCATCCCCAAATGACTTAAGTCTTTCCTTGGGCTCCATTCCAAAATTGAAATCCATCCCCAAATTGAGGATTCATCTTCATGACTTCACCAATCTCTCAACTCTCTCTCGCCCAGTCGCCCGCGCTGCCGCCTGCCACCAGCCCACCACCACCAGTCCGGCCAGCCCAGTCCGTGGCTGCTACCGTCCGTCCGTCCGTCCGTTGCCAGTTTTGGTGCTGTAAGTTGTTTTTGGGCATTACGGGTGTATTTTTTAAGTGTTTATGAATTATTTTGGTCCTTTCATATTCGATGTTGAATCGTGAAATTTCAGTGCCATGAAATGCAAAAATAGTCTCTTTGTCTGATTTCTTTTCTTTACCGGTCTGCCCCTTGTGGCTGGTGATAATGTGATAGGTAATTAGGTTTACTTGGTGAGTTGGTTCTTCTGCAAATTGCCAATTGCAATCAGTAAATTTGTTGTCTTGTGCTGTTGTGCATTGTCTGATTTCTTTGCTGATGAGTGATGCCTGATAAGTGATAATTTTGTTTAGGTATACTTGGTTATTCTGTAGATTGCAATAAGTAAAGAACTTGTCTTGTGCAGTTGTGCATTGATTTGAAATGAGAAATTAGTTGTATTATTATCATTTATCATAAATTTGAAATGAGAAGTTAGGGTTTAGGTTGATTGAGTTGTTTTGGCCAATTTGCCATATATATATAATTCTTACATTTTAGTGCATTTACATATATATTGAATAATTTTTAATATTATTTGATTAAATATTAATAAACGACCTCGCTCCGATTGTTGATTGTCGACGTTGATCAGTCAACATCTGCCCGGACTGAATTTCAATGCTGGGTTCGTCCCTGAACACGACATTAGATTGTAACAGTATATTACATCACTCTGTAACAATCTATTAAAGATACTCAATGATGAAGGATTTTATCCGATGGATAGAATAAGAAAGGGAGAGATTGCAATATTTCCTGTAAATTATTAGTGTAATTTAATGTATTAAAGGTAGAAAATAAGTGTAATTAGTCTTTTTTTAAAAAAAATAAAATTCAATCTCCTCTTGATGCATTTTACACTCTACAATAACTAAAATTGTATAAGAGGAGAGGAGAAAAGAGAGAGCCATGACAGGGGGGCAAAGAGAGAGGAGAATGGATGGAAAGAAATGTGCACTTGGTTCATTGGTTTATAATCTAAGGTGAAAAAGTAAAACAGTAAACTGGCGTTGAAACTAGGGCTGGGCAAAATGTCCGAACGGAACCGAATCAAACCGAACCGAGTGGATTTTTTAAAATGAAATACCCGAACGGGTATCCGAATCGAAAATCGAATGGTTTGGTTCGGTTCTCGGTTCTAGACCCAGAATCGAAGAACCGAATAAGAACTGAATTTTTTATTTTTATTTTGGATAAATCAATTTCTTTTATTTTTTCTAAATAAATTAATAACTTTTTCTTATTAAATCTTATTAGTTGAACAATTTAGAGTTTATTTATGTTTGTTAGTTGTGTTTTTTTCAATATTACGATTGCTGATTGTCGACGTTGATCGGTCAACATCTGATACTCAATGATGAAGGATTTTACCCGATGGATAGAATAAGAAAGGGAGAGCATTGCAATATTTCCTGTAAATTATTAGTGTAATTTAATGTATTAAAGGTAGAAAATAAGTGTAATTAGTCTTCTTTTTTAAAAAAAAAAAATTCAATCTCCTCTTGATGCATTTTACACTCCACAATAACGAAAATTGTATAAGAGGAGAGGAGAAAAGAGAGAGCCATGACAGGGGGGCAAAGAGAGAGGAGAATGGATGGAAAGAAATGTGCACTTGGTTCATTGGTTTATAATATAAGGTGAAAAAGTAAAACAGTAAACTGGCGTTGAAACAATTGGGCTCAAAGTGGAGGAAAAATAGGTTAACCAGAAGTGTCACTATGCACTTGAATGAAAACTCTGCCATCTGTTTTCTGCAGAATCACTTGCTTGTTTTTAACAGTTCTTGATTTCCCTCTTTTTTCTTTTTAAATTTTGAGAGTTCCATCTTTAGAGTATTCTGTGAAGATTTTATATGTAAAGCCAAGCATTGAAGCATCATGTGTGTGCTTAATATGCTGTTCAGTTAATATAGTTGGATTACAAATGAAGCATATTTGACACCTTAAGCACTATCTCTCAGGTTATTTTGTTTGAGAATCAAAATGAATGAAATAATGAAAGAATTCCAGCAAGGCCTCATCGAAGTTGAAATGGAAGCTGAAAATCTTCTATTAGCTCGCCATCAGGTAATTAAATTTGAACAACTATTGTTCTTAGAAAGAATTATTTTCATTTTTATCTCAGCATTTTCCTGATTTCTGGGTAATGCGGTTGCAGTTGGTTGAAAATGACAGAGTGAGACAAGGGAATAGGGAAGCTTTGACCGCTTTAAGAAAGAGAGCTCGAACAACAAAGACTAGTGTTCCTTTGCCTTTCGAGTCAATAATGAGGGATGTTGAATCAAGGCCACTGGTGAAAGAGATCTGTGCAACCTGTGGTGATCACGATTCAAAAGAGAAGACATGGTTAATGTTTCCGGGCACTGATCTCTTCGCCAGCATTCCGTTCCATGCTGCTCATACTATTTTAGAGAAAGGTATTTATATCACTTTTTGACAAAATTTGATTCAATAATGTACATAGTTCGTACTTTGAAGTGTCTTTATGTCTCTTTCCAAAGGCTATATCCTGCTTTCTGTTTTCAATTAGTTACAACAAAACTACCGTAAAATGTAAATGGCTTAATTTCTATCTTAAGAACCCGAAACTATTGTTCAGTACCAGGAAATGATTATTCTATGCATAGCATAACCATGTTTCAAATATATGTATCTAGTGGTTTTTGCCCTACATGAAGCTCCACTAGACTTGGAATGTATATAATTTTTGAACTTTTACCTAAAAGATTGTGCCAGTTCCAGTCAACAATGTTGCCTCAATTTATAGAAGTGTCTATTTGTGGCTCTACTACAGAGTTGCGATTTGCTTATTTATGATAGGAGGTGTATTAAAATTAAAAAGAAGAAAGGTTTTTAAATTCTTGGGAGCCCATCTTATCATCCACCTCAGAATGGTCTGTAAAACACCAAATACATGTATTTAAGCTATAGATCACATTTTATTCAATTGTTATTGTAACATAAAATTTACTAGCAATTAAGTTTGTTTTCTACTCGTAGATGTTTAAGAAGATATTAATCTCAGCCAAACTTGATCCTTCGCAATGAAAAAGGTAAATTTATCCAGAATGTGATCTTTAGCATAAGGTCCTGTAAACTTTCAGCCACATTACTAGGCATAAAATAAGATGGCAAACAAGCCAACAACTCAAACTGGCCCTCTTGAATCATCTTTCATCTTAGCATATGATACATACACTATTTGGTAGTTTAACGAACTGCACTTCTCCAACAAGAAAAGTTATAAACGCAATTGCCTGTCCATGCTACCTTCCTAAAAGTTGGCTAACTGAGAGTCCTATGGTGTCCCAGTAATTTTGAAATCTTAATATAACATTGCATCACGTGCAAAGGTAGAGGCAAGTAAGACCATAATGCTGCTAAGTGTCTGTATCTTTTTCTGATGGACTTGTGAAGTGCACAGAAGTTCCATGATTGAGATCTGGACAGGAGGATTTTCTTAATGTAAATTCAGGCCAATTAATTACTACTTCCTCTTACTCCCATTCAGCTGTCAGTGATATAATTTTGCTGTCTCGGGTTCTCTTATTACGAGTGTTGTAAAATATATAGGGAAACTGAAGAAATGTGGGATGGTAAAGAAAATATGAAAATGGAAGAAACTTACACTGGCATATCTGCTATCATGTTCTAGTGTAGCAGTATGACTGTATCCCCGTGCACTCTATGATCATGGAGGAGAATATGTAATTAAACTGGACTTTAAGCTGATTCAATAATTGACGTTAAACTATATTTCTACTCTGGTGGGAGTCTTGATCTTGGTTTGCTTATAATTGGTATACAATGTCATGCAGATCAAACACTTTTTGATTACGAATCTAAAAAACTTCAGAGCTATGTCAAAGAAAAGTCCTTTTCAATTTCCGAAAAGGGTGTTCTTGCCGACAAGATCAGTCCAGGTGTACTTAGAGCTTTGGTGACTTTAACTGACAAGCCAAAGTAAGTTTTACCTGCTCAAGCAAACCTTTAGCATCTAAGTGAGAACACTAATTAACTTTTCATTTTCTTGCTATACTATATGCATGTTACATTTTCCTTGCTAATTATTTCATTCAGGGTTGAGGAGGAAGATTAATAATAGCAGTAATCATTGGAATCTGCATAAGGTTGGCTTTAGAATCTGCTGAAGGTTGGCTATATGTCAACTCCAAATTTCATCTCCAGTGAATTTTTCCTCTGCCTTTCTGTTGTCCTATCTTAAATCAAGCATTGGAGCTATTTTAGTATACAAATCCATAAATGGATGGATATCTAAATCAGAGAAGTGCATCATCCTTCTTTGACTGAATAATAGCTTGATTATTATCAGTGTTGGAGAAAGAGCTACTTCTAAGGATAAGAGGAAAGGCTTTCTGAGAAAATGTTCAGGACTCCCGGCTGATTGTTTGAATGTTTGCTCTTTTATCTGTTGTATTATGTTTAAATGACAATGGCATGCTCATCTCCTTCGATAATTATTGAGTTATGCATTAATTTTCAGTGTTTTTATGACCTTATAGGTGTACAATTAAGTTAGTAAAGCTCATAGGCAATATTTCTCCAATAAGTCAGTTGTCATAGTGACAGTCAATGCAGCACGACATACTTGATCGTCCCATTAGAAACATACAATAACAACTAAACTTCTTTTCAGCGTATATACCTTCTTGAAGATATAGTTTTCTAAGTAATCTTTGGAATATCTTGATATCAACTTGCTGTTGCACCTGTTGCTCTGAGACTTGTATCCAAAGTTTAGAACATATCTTTACCAAATATTGAGAATTAAAAATTTGATTATTTCTTGTATTGGCACATAATTTGAGTAATGATTAATTCTAGTATTGGACGCATAATTTTAATATGTTTGACACCCTTCCTACTCTTGAATGTTTAGAGAAGGAAATGAAAGGAAGAAACTTATTGAATTACAATTCCATCCTTCTTATTTCCCCTCTTCTACTTATTCGTGAACACGAGTGAATAATTCTTGTACTTTCCCCTTCTTCAGTTTTCATTGATGCAATTCGAACTCAAGTTTGGCACAAGTTTCTGAAACCTGGTATTGTCTAGGTCTCAAGGAAACTTGCTTGCTTTTGTCCTTGCTACTAAGAAAATGAAACAAAATATATATAAACGAGAGGAGCATCCAGCTCTAACAGTCAAGTTATTTATGTAGCTTGTTTTAATCTGCGGTCACTTTTCCAGAACCTATTGTAACTTCTACCTAAAATCAGGCTACCAGTCTTCCACTTGAATGTCCTGTTCTGGTAGCTAGACAAAAACATAGGACTTGTTTGGTAAGAGGTCTAGTCCATTGTCTGTGGGCAATAACAATCTCTAGTATATCAACGAATAAGGGCATTCTTGAGAACTTGTGTGGATATGTATGTCCATAACAAATGAAATGGTTTCCGGGGCTCCATAGAAACGTAAAATCTTGACAATCTATTTTTGTATAATATTGTGTACTAAACACGTGCAACGTATGCAAGGAAGCACATGCACATTCACTCTCATGTGAGCTTCTATTAGCTGTTAGCGTCAACATGGCGCACAGTCCATTTGTATCCTCCATAATATGGACTAGGAGGAGAGTTTGTTTGAGTTTGGCAAACATGATTCTTATTTGGAGGCACAAAATATGATTAAGCCCAGACTCAAAAAGGGTGGGGGGTGTGGTGGGGTGCTATATTCACAACCTAAAATCAATGTATGTGCCTGTTTTATCACTTTCATCATTCATATCAGGGCTACGAGATGTTGACATTTCAATGAAAATAGTTCTTTTCATTCAGCAAAAGTGTTTTTCTGCTAGCAAGTAAACTCAACTAATGATGACTGGCATGCAGTTTAATCGTAGAATATCAAGATAATTGGTTCCTTTAATCTGGTAGGAAATTTTGGTTCATCAAGATAAGAAGTGAGTGGTTTTTGTTAAAGATGAAAGCAGTAACTAACATATATCTTAATTACTGAATTATACAAGTGGGCCGTTTGTGTAGTACCAATTGCCTAAACTGTTTAATCTTTTTCCAGAAAACTCATTAATGAAAGGCTCACTTTCTGATTGTCTATTTCAGGCCATTGGTATGTGGACATGCCTGAAATTTGAACTAACTATTAGGCAAGGAATTGCACCACACCACTCAAATTGGTTATCTAAACTGGACAAGAAACTTAGAATTCTTACAATGGCAATTACTAATAATTTCTTGAATAAATAGCAATTTGTTGACCATGGCTGGTGGTAGGTTCGAACATTTAATGAATTCAATTCTGAAAATTTGAATTTATTGAAATTCCTCAGGAGAAATTACATATATTACTAATCTTGAATTGCATGATCAAAAGTGGGATGTTAGTTTAAGGGTCTTGGGCCAAGAACTCAAGCTCAAGTAGGAATGTTAAATAAATCGAACGGCTCGGCTCATCACACGAGCCGGTTCACACTCGCATGTGAGATGAGTCGAGTGCAAGCTGGCTTGCTACATCAATGTGGAGCTCATGGGGAGATTAAGCTCACGAGTCGCTCACTATTCTTTTTTTTTTTTTTAATTTCAACTTAAAATTACACTTTCACTCCTCGAATTACAATGAAGATGTAAGAAAATTATATTTTATCAAAATAATTTTTTAATGATAAGGAAGAGGTAAACGTAAAAATTATATTTTGTCAAAAGCATTATAAAATTGTAAAAATCTTCATTCTTTATCCAGACTTGGGATTGATTAAAATACGTAGATGAAGTTAAAATTGTACACAATGAATAATTCGTATACAATATTTTTTAAATAAAATAAATGCAATATAATATAATAATGATTAAAAACGATATGTACTTCCTATTTACATTAACAGTCTATAGTACATTCCAATATATGAGTACTAGATTGTAAACGCTTGCCCCTAGGGCACATCTCCAAGTAGTAAAAGGGGAATGTGGAAAAACTCCAACTTTGTTTGAGGCTGCCGCGTCAAGTGTTAGAATTTTGAAATATGGATTTGACCATTGAGTAAGTGCAGGTGTACAAGTAGTCTTTCACCATGTACCATTGGAGACAAAACCTGCGATTTATCTCCTTCACCAAAGCTCAGGACAGAGCAGGTGGGGGCTGTCAATGATGTGACTCATCCTTTAAATTGTAAACGCTTTAACATAAAAATTATATTCACCCGACTAAAAGAAAAGTTAAAGTCACGAATGTCCTAAAGCAGTATTGCTAACCATGCAAACTGTACAAGATACAACAGCAATAGTTATCATCATCAAGGTATAATGCTAAAAATATATGTACTAATCGCTATGAAGATAACACGTAGCATCAAAGGATAAAGAAATACTATTTCCATAGTTTTGAAAGAATAGATTTAAATTCTTCTTTAATCTTACTGAAGGTCGTAACACAAATGACATTTTCTTCCTTATTTGAAAATTTGGCAAGAAGTGAATAATAATTTCCATTCCAAGAAGATATGATGAGCTAAGCTTTACATAAATTACGTATAATAACGCAACAAGAAATATTGAAGTTGAGATTATGAAATCAGGAGCAGCTTTGAATGAATTATGAAATAAGGAGAGTGGTTGTTGCAAAATTAGAAGAGTGATAGTTTCAAAATTATACCGCTAAAGAGTTGAGAATGATATATTAGAGGATGCTGAAAGTTAAATGTAAAGAAATTTAATTTTTAAGCAATCCCAGTTTATTGATTCGAAATTGAGCAAAAAATAAATAAATAAAAATTTGGATTTGAATTCAAATTTCGAATTTGATGAACCTGATGTAGGGTCAGGGGCGGACCCAGACATTTTAGGTTAGGGGGACATAATCAAACCCTGTACAAATCGAATACTTTGTTCTTGATTTTTGAATGATTCATACTTGACTTGAAATAATGTAGATTTACATTTAAAAAAACATTTCATCAAGTAATCGAAAGGAAAAATATATAACTAGTATTCAATATTAATAATCAATCAAATAAACACAATTCATTAATATATAAGTCAAATTGGATATAATGAGTTCTATATACACAGTTTGATAGGAGAAGATGCAAATTTAGGTTCTAATTACTTGAAATTTGATTGGAATCTGAATATTTGTAGTAAATGTGATAATTTGCAGAAAAATTATATACAAAATTTTAAAAATTAGAAGGGTTAAGATTTTGTTAAAAGGCTGAAGAAAAGAGCAAAAGAGATCAAGAGAAAAATTCAAATTTATTATGATTTTGCCCCTATTTGATGAAGATTAAAATTAATTTTTTAATAAATTTTGATTAAAAAAATTAAACAGTTATAGATTCCATAAAATATGTTATTAAAATTAATTGTTAATTTAGATTTAGATTAAAATTTAGATTTCAATCGATACCAAACATGATTTTATTATTTTAAAAAAAATCACAAAAGTTGGAGGGTCATGAGACCTCCCCAAGACCCACCTGGGTCCCCTGTGTATGGTTCCATCATTTTTGCATGGTTGCAACAACTCACTTAGGCAAGCTCAACCAAATATAACAACTTTGGACTCAGCCTAGGCATCACAATTTAATGTTTGAATGTAATAATAGAGTCTGTTCTTTGACCGCTGGCCACTGCCTGAGTCCATGGGTGGTAGGGGTCTGCCAAACAGGGTAAGTTTTAATAGAATATTTCAAAAAAATATGATATGAAGACTTTTCATAAGACATGCATGTGGCATAATTGCATGCATTTAATCATATGCTTAAGAGATAATTATTGTAGAGGAGTCATTATGAGTTTGCTGGACTGTAAACATGTGTTGTAAGTTGCTTTCAACTGACAAAGTTTCAGACCTCTTATGTGCTGTCTTTTGTTTGCTTTTTCTGAATGTTCATTTTCAATTAATAGTGATGGAAACATTTTTTCTACAAAAATTCCCTATTTGTTCCATGCTTAAAGACATTGGTGATCACTTGTCAAGACATCTCTCAATTTGTGAAAAAAAAGGATTTATGAATGATTAGATTGGATTAAGGTTAGTTTGTAAGATAAGACATTTTGATTAAAGAATGTTAACTTGAATAATTAGATGATAAGACTTGTCTAAAAGATTCCCTAACAT